TAATGTCCTACATTGTGCGGGGCCTTGTCCTCCTTTGCAGTTAGGACCCCTGGTCAACATATCTTCTCCAAGTTGTCCTGAGCAACCTCTAACATGGAAGGCATGGCAGGGCTGGAATCCATTTCATAGATTTAATGCAAATTTTCTGACTCCAGAACACTAGGAGGTCTGTTTCAGGGAAGCCCTTGTTTTGATCTGTTATGCTGGGTTGAGTTCAGCTTTGCAAATATTCGAACAGTTTCGCATGCCAAAGCATGAGTCACACACCATTCCCCCACCTAACCACAGTTATGCACAAAAGCATTTTTCACAAGGGTGTGAAACTGCTCTTTGGTTCACATTCACTCCCTTTTGAGGAATGGGGCACAGCGTTGGACCGTTGGTTCTGGAATCAGTTCAGGTGTTCTGAAGCAAAACCGACGGCTTCAGACGCTGCTCTGCTCAGCAAAGGAACACAATATGTCCTACAAAAGTGACAACAATGAGTCACAACGGAGCTGGCTCAAGGTATATTTGTTCTTGGGTGTCTTCAAGTGATTTCCAACTTTCGGCAACCCTAAGGTGAAACTATCCTGGGGTTTTCTTGGCAGGATTTCTCCAGAGAGGGTTTGCCTTTGTCTTCCTCTGAGGCTGAGAGCATGTGACTTGCCTAAGGTTATAGAGTGGGTTTCCACAGCAGAACGGGGATTCGAACCCTGATCGCCAAACAACTATAGCACCATCTCATTAGGTGTGCTTATGCAAACACAAGTATTAAAATAAAATGAATCCAAAATGCTTCTGGTCCCAAGCTTTTCAGATAAGGGAGACTCAACCTGCAATGGTCTTAATCCAAAGTCATCCAGTGGATTTCATGCCCAAACAGGGAATCGAACTCTGGTCTCCAGAGATGTAGTCCACTACTCAAACCACTATGGCATGCTGGCTCTCTATATACCTACCCAAACCTAGAAATAATCTCCTAAGGCCCCCATGGCTATTGGGGATGGTTTTGGGGGTTGCTCTCAATCTTGGCATGCTTCGTGCCTTTTATCAATCACTCTGGAGCTGGAGAAGGACTGTTATTTTCTCTGTTGGATCTTTGCCACATGCTTTATATGTTGACTTTATATGTTTTATTGTTGACCTCTTTTATTGCATGCACTTTGCCTTTATCTTGTAGACTGCCCTTGGAAACACCAGGGAGGCATAAACATTTTTTAAATACATCAGCCAACTTTTCTAATTATTAATTTAAACAACATATGCTTGCATTAAAAAGAATTGTACAGATTGGAATAAGACTTAGGCAGAGATCCCATTTAATGCTGGGAGAGAGTAAAGCCTGGCAAAGTGTTCCCATTGGGACTCCTGAAGTATATTTGGTTTCTGTTCAAATTTGGATTATATACCAATTTTTGTGACAATCAATGAAAGGTATTTTACCCTACAAGTTTATAATTGAATAGTTATATAGACCTACATTTGTAAAGCATGAGAACCAGTGTGGCATAGTGGTTTGTGTGTTGGACTGCAACTCTGGGAGACCAGGGTTCAAATCCCCACTCAGCCATGGAAACCCCATGGGTGACCTTAGGCAAGTCACACACTCTCAGCCTCAGGGGAAGGCAATGGCAAACCTTCTCTGAACAAATCTTGCCAAGAAGACTCATGACAAGTTTGCCTTAGGTTTGCTGTTAATCCGAAACAACTTGAAAGCACACAAGCATCACATTGTTATAGCCTTTCAGCTTGTTGATTTGCTTAATATGTTTTTTATCTGCTTTAAATGACTTTATTAATCTGGATTTACTTTAAATTATTTATATTGTTCTATTTATATGACGCCGTGAGATCCCATGATAAAGGGCAGGATATAAACATTTTAACAAAATAAATACTATCCAGCCTCCCCCAAACGCTAGTACTTGCTCATATCCATTATTTCATTTTGTTTTAAAATTGGAAGTGAATAGAGTCGTGATAATATAGATTTTACTCACCAGTTTGAATGTAAAATTACTGGTAATCTACAACCTTTTCTTTTCTTGAACAGTTGCACAGTATTTTTATTCTGAGGTTGTGTCAGAGAAAAGTTTTTCAGGAGAGGGCCTAAAGCAGTAAATGAAGTTAAGCAATTCATCATGTATAATTCATATGTTATCCAACAATAAACTTTCTATTAGCGAGTATCAAATTAAAGGGCTTAGTGCTCTCTTCTGGCTCAACAAGGAAACTGCAGATGTAGTGTTATATATGCAATGCATTTATACACTGCCTTTTATCTTAAGGACGTTATCA